AATCCGTAGATTAAGTACTTAGATTCGGATACTTAACATTTAGATATCTTTTTACAAAAAAGAAATAATTCCAACCTCTACGCTCCATTTATAACTTATCTAAAATATTCATAATCGAATCCGAATATGAGGTTTACTGTTCACCCCTGGTCGCCAGGTGTGTGTATATATATATATATATATCCGGCCTTTTGTCGATCGATCACGTTCACGTACGCTACGGTCTGAAACTCGAGTAAATAGATAGATGTAAAATCGATGAATCTTGCTACGGTACCAATGGCCCAATGGGCAATGCAATGCAGGCCTGATTAATTAATTTTATCATCAGTACAGTACGAACAACACACACGTAATACGTAGTACAGTAGTATATCCGGCCTATTCGATTTAATCATTGTAGGTACCAGATTAGATTGTAGAGCGAGTGCTGTGCGTACGTGTGCTACTATGCTGCTGGATCGATTCGATCGATGGTCCAGCAACCAGCATGCATATACGATGACTACGTACGTACGCGCATGTACTCTGATCTTATGTATGTAAGTATGTTGTATACTCTCTCTGTCCACAAAAAAAATATAGTTATGGGATTTGTACCAGTCAATCAAACTTAAATTTGATCAAGTTTATAGTAAATAATATTAACATTTATGTTTCTAAATAAATTTATTATGAGAATATATTCTATAACTAATTTAATGATATTTTTTATATTATGAATATGGATACTTTTTTATATAAATTTAATTAAAATTTAAATAATTTTGACTTCTCGAAAAACAAGAATTACATTTCTCTGTCGGCAGAGGGAGTACTGATCAATCTTGGATCATGCTTTGTACTACTTATTACTGCCCGTGCATTGGCAGCTATAGTAGTACGTACGTACGTATATCCCAGTTAGGGTGTGTTTAGTTAGGGAGGTTGAAAATTTTTTGGTATCACATCGGATGTGTTGAAAAGAATGTTGGGAAGGGTTTTTGAACACTGATAAAAAACAAATTACAGAACCCATCAGGAAACTATGAGGCAAATCTAATGATACTAATTAATTGGTCATTAGCACATGTGGGTTACTGTAGCACTTATGGCTTTTCATGGACTAATTAGGCTTAAAAGATTCGTCTCACGATTTTGCCGAGAACTGTGCAATTAGTTTTTTTTCGTCTATATTTAGTACTTCTATACATGTGTCCAAACATGCTCTTTTATTATAGGAGGAAATTTTTTTTTAACTAAAAGGCCTTAATTCCGACATCCGTGTTCTGAAGAATATAATGGCCACATACAGTACACGCGCAAAATCAATCGAGTACGGAGTATACTCCAACGATCTGTGTATTTACGTCTTCCTATATATATACCTGTATATACCTGCAGCTGCATGCAGGCTGCAGCTCGCTCTCACGCTCTCGCGGTGTGTGTCTCTCTCTCTCTCTCTCTCTCTCTCTCTCTCTCTCTCTATATATATATATATATATATATATAATATGGTTTGTACCCCTGCCTATGTTTCCCTAAAAATGACTTCTTATTTACAGCAATATAAGAAATGTGATTCTATATGTATTATTGTTAACGTATCTAAAGTTTGACCAAATATAAATATAAAGTTATTAGTGTTTATGACGCCAAACAAATAAGCCATGTTTCTTTGGGCTTGTTTGTCTGATAAGCCATGGCTGAAAGTACTGTTGACTGATTTGGTGTGAGAGAAAAATAATGTTCGTTGGCTATAAAAATACGGTTTGTAAGCCAAATAAGCCCAAACGAACAAGCTGTAATATGAAAATATATCTCATGATAAATTTAATACGTATTCCCTCCGTTCTAAATTATAAGACGTTTTGGGGGCTGTTTCGGTAAGATGAAAAATATATCTAATTGTTGAAAAAATAAATTTGTCTAAAATCACTATGCATGTCTCCGTTTACTAAATTATACGACGTTTTGACTTTTCTTGCATTTGCTATGCATACACATATGCACTGTGTTTAGATACATAGCAAAAACAACATATCTATAAAAGCCAAAACGTTTTATAATTTGAAACGGATTAAGTATCTAATATTATAACTATTTATATTTTTATATATAAGTTAGTCAAACTTGATACTTTAATTTGATACTGTGACATAATTGTATTTTTTGTGTGGAGAGAGAGAGTACTCCTAGTGTACTATATTGTGGCCTTGTTTAGATATAGGGTGTAAAGTTTTAGGGTGTTACATCGGATATTATATATGGTTGTCGCATGGAGTGTTTGGATACTAATAAAAAAATAAATTACAGAGTCCGTCACTAAATCGTGAGACGAATTTATTAAGACTAATTAATCCGTCATTAGCACATGTGCTATTGTAGCACCACGTTATCAAATCATGGACTAAATAGTCTTAAAAGATTCGTCTCGCAAAGTAGTCGTAATCTGTGCAATTAGTTATTTTTTAGTCTATATTTAATACTTCCATACATATGTATAAACATTCGATGAGATATGGTGTAAACTTTTTGATGAGAAACTAAACAAGACCTGCTTAAACTTGCACACGGTTGATGATTAAGCTCGCAGGTCGCATTACCAGGGCAGTGACGCAATGCTTTGCTGCCACCAACCAGCAGGCAACCAGTCTGTCACCATCTCAGGCTCGTACTCGTACTTGTAACCGTACCACTACTTCTAGTATTACTCCGAACTAAATAATCCAAGAGTCAACTTTGCATAACAAACAAAGCTTCCATGCATAAAGTTCTCCTAAGAACGAATATATGCAAATAGAATTAAGAACAAACAAATTAATTATAAATCACATGATGTAGTAAAAATATTCACAAGAATTATTAATTAAATGATGATGTAGGGAAAAATATTGTCCAATAAATCAATCAACAAAAAATATTTTTGTGTTTGCCCTGAGTTCCTCCTTTTCTTTTTCTACTACCGTGAGTTTTGCCGCCCCTTGGCCTATATATATCCACTCTCATTCTACATTGATCACCACCACGTATACATAGCTTTGTTTTGTTGAAGAATTTTCCTTCTGTAGTGCTCTCAGAGGGGGGTGGCTCCTCTAATCACAATATCACCGGATGTTGAGTCACTAATATGATTAGTATAAGTCTCGTTACCTAATTTCAAGTTATGCTATGGCATTATGCCAAAAGAACTTCCAACTACACCTCCTAGATGGGCTATGCTGCTTCTACATTCTTTGTGCTCTTGTTGGTTGCTGCTCTTGGACGTAGGGCTTCAATCTAACCATAGGAGTTAATCATAGATTCGCTCGCAATCCTAATACTAACCCTATTGTGGGCGAATAGAGCCACAGTGAACATCGACACAACCCAACCCAACCCAACCGGGAAGAAGCTCTCCTCGGGCTGGGCTGGACCCACCTGGCAGCTAGGAAGGGTTAGTCGACTCTACTATTGACCAGGGGGCCAAAAGGTAATCCCTCCTCCGATTACTACTATCATTGTAAACGGCGTGCAGGGGTGAGCCCATCCTCTGTCTATGTGCCTCCCTCCTAATTAAAGCTGGGCAGTAATTAATCATTATTAGGTCCTCTAACCTAATGATGAGGGGGGTGCGGCAGCGGCGCAGGGAGGAGAAGAAGATCCCTGGAGACCCGGTGACGGTGAGGGAGTACTGTATAGAGTGGCTCGTCACTCACTCTTCCCAAACTGTCCCTGCGTGCCATTTCTTTTCCTTTTGTCGCCTCTCTCCCCTACTCTCCTCACTCGCTCTGTCTGTGCTTTGGCTTTCCCCTCCACCTCAACCAAAAAGAGGAGAGCAGAGGAGAGGTTTGCGTGACAGCGGGCGAGTGATTACCTCAGCCGGCAGACAGCCGCCAAAGCAGTGTTAGTGGTGAGAGAGTGAGAGCTAGTAGTAGGAGCCCAGAGGAGTCGAGGAGGGACCGAGCACGAGCACGAGCACCTCCACTCCACGCGCGCCCCATGCCCGTCTGCTCCACCTCCACCTCCATCTCCATGAGGGCCAGCTGAGCGAGACAAGGAAGGGGAATCTCTCCCCGTTCGCCTTGCCGTCTTGATCTGCTCTGGCTCCCGGCGGCAGCCCACCTTCTTCCCCCTACAGGTAATGGCGCTTCTTGGTTGCTTTGCAATGTCTCAAGCGTCGGATTTGGTTGAGATTCGGAGGACCCGGGGTCCGGGGTTTCGTGGCTGTTCCTCTGCGGCAAAGATGGGATTTTTTTTCCTCTTATTCTGTGCGCGAGGCGCCGCCGAAGTGCTGGTTCTGCGATTTCCCCCCCATGGACACGAGATTTGATTCGCGCTAGTGTGATCTGGGTGCCAAAAGATGGGATTTCTTTTTTGTTACTTGCTGAATGTAGCAGCAGGTTCATTTGCCGCTGAAAATGGCTAGTGTTTTCTAAACGAAGATGTGTACTACTCCTACGGTCTACATCGTTGAGATTTCCTTATTTGGACGACATGAAAATGTCTGTCTGTTTCCTCTTCTTTCAACCATTTGTTTGCTAATTTTTAGCCTCTTGGATGAGATCTGGCGTATAAACTAGTAAACCGCCTAATCTGTTCCTTGCACAGGGAGCAAACTTGTTTCCCTGGGCTCCGTTTTCAAGCACATTGGGCGCACTTGGAATTTTTTCAGGTGGCGCATTCGGAATTTCATTCAAGCGCACCCTTTTGCACTATATTTCCATTTCATTTTGTTCTGTTCGGTACGGCCTTGCCGTCAAACAGAGCAAGAGATCCGATGTATGCTGCTGCTCATCAGTTTCCCCCTTTTTTCCTCTCTCTTTCTCCTTTTTCTTATTTCCGGCTTTTTTTTTTAATGTTCATCAGTGGGGACTTACCCGTCATGCTTAACCTCTTGTTTATATTGAATCCTCCGAATTCTAGTATCAGTTTTTTGGGGGTAACAGCGTGCATGTTTCCTCTTAAACAATTATGTATGTTTTCACAGCAATGCGCTATCAAAATTGCTATCTCATTCTAGCTTGCAAGTAAAAGAAAACATGGCGGTGGTACACTACAATATTTGAGTGCATCCCCACTTCTGGCAGCGCTCTACATCACATTCCATGGAACTTAATCTTACATCATGTGCTCACATTGTAGGTTTCATCTATGGGGCAAGATGCTGGCTTCAAGCGCGAGGGTCATTCTGGATTGGGAGCAGGTCCTAAAACTTTGGAGGCCTCTTGCTGCACCAGTGAAGAAAATGAGAGTCGAAACAGAAGATACCATCAGTTGAAATGCTCAGAGAGCAACTCGGGGCAGTTACACCTGGACTACATCCCAAATTTCCACTGCAAGAGCTTGCCAACAAGAAGCAAGACAAATGCTGAACAAAGTGTCATAGGGAAGCGTGGTTCTATGTACCAGAGCTCTAGTGAAATTAGCAGAATCAGAAAAATCCAGGAGGGCAGGAGGAAAATAGATTCTGCATTTGATGGGGATGCATTTCTGTCCTTTGATATTGTTGATGCATCCTCTCGCCCTAGCACAAGTGGAGGTTATCTGCACTCCCATCAGAACCGGAGGTCAGGTGCTAAGCCTTCTGTAGAAACTGCTCATAAGATTATTCGAGCATCAAAGGACTTCCTGGACCTTTCGTTCCGTGAACTTCCTGATGAGAATTTTAAGCTAGACCGACCACGCTTGGACAGTACCTTGTTGAAAAATGATGGAGACGATGGTTTCTTGGAGATTTCTCTTGAGAAAGAGATAACGAAGGGTGGCCCCTGCAGAAATGCAGCTCCTGTCTTGCTAAACACTGAGTCAGGTAAATGCACTGAAATGAATTACCTGCACAAGACGAGGGGATGCCCCAGTGAGAACAACTCTGCTGAGAGGGGGAGGGATTCAGCAAGCAGTTCCAAATCAACGCCTGTGAAAGTAAGCTCCTTCGATGGTACCTGTCAATCTAACGATGTTCAACATCATATCATAGAGAACAACACTAAAGCTCGATCAAGCCCCTTCAAGAAGATGCTGGACCCTATCATGAAGTCCAAATCTCTTAGGAGCCTGTCTCTCATGGAAAAAGGAGACTCCAACTCTATAACTGGGACAGGGAGCAAGAAAAATTCCATGTCTCGAAAATCACTGTTGGGTGATTTTTCAAGAACTGAACATGCATCTAATTGCCAGCCCAATGGACAAACGCAGCTTGTCAAATCTGCTTTGTCACCTGCTCATCTTCAAGCGGTTCTTAGATTGGATTCCAAGAATGGTGTACAGGTTTTTGAATTTTGTGTTGAGGGCCCAGAAGAATCCTTTTCCGCCAGGAATTGGAAAACTGGAGATGAGTTGAACTCTATATACACCTTCCATAGTGGTGGGAAACGATCCAGTGCTGCTGGAAGGATCTCCAAAGATGGAGGCTTGAATTTACCCCCAATCGTAGGGCAGGTGCAGGTTTCATCTTATTTATTCTCTGAAGTTGGAAAAGATGGTACGGTGAATAACTCTGTCATCACCGAGTTTGTTTCATACGATATTGCTCATGCAAGGCGGATTGTTGAGGAAAAGACTCAATGTACAGAGACCCCTCAACAGCCACTTTGTGGTGTCGTTGATAAATCAATCTCTGGTGATTCTCCACAGAGGATTAATCTGATGGAAGAGAACAAGATTGGGAGAAATAACTCGGATGTATCAACATCTTGCCCATGGTCTGAAGAAGATCTTTATCCTCATTTGGAGATCGCTGCAACTGTGATAGAGGTTCCATTTAGTAAAGACAAGTCCAAAGAAATGAAGAATGGTTCATCTCCTTGTACTGTCAAAGTTGTTACACCTAGTGGACTGCATGGTTCACCTAGTGATGATGAAGCCAGCCCATCTCCCTTGCTAGATAGATGGAGGTATGGTGGGGGTTGTGATTGTGGCGGATGGGACATGGCTTGTCCCATTGAAATTCTTGGCAATGCATATGATAATAACTGGGCTGAATCTATAACCACCAATGCGAAACATCCCATGAAGCTCTTTGTTCAGGTACATTGCACAGTACCAATTCTTTTAGTAATTTATGACATGAGTTTTTGCAGTAATTCTCTCTAGCTATAAAATTATTTGTATACTATATCGAAGCTTGCTTATTGGCTGGCATCCTAGAAACTAAAAAAATTAAGCCTTTGCAACCTTACTAAGTTAAGCACAACAGGCGCGGTGTTGGGCCCTGAATCTAATTTTGCTGGCAAGTAGAGTATATGCTTACGCACACCAGTCCATCCATGTATTGATCTATAAGTCCAAACGAGAGCAGTTGTGATGTGCATTGTTTTTCTTTGCTTGAAAAACTGATGTGTGCTCATTGTTGAAACAGGGTAGCAAAGAAGAGCACCCTGTCCTTTCTATGAAGGAGAATGGGAGAGGACAGTTTTTGGTGGATTTCCATGGGCGACTATCAGCATTACAGGCATTTTCCGTTTGCATCTCTCTGCTGCACTGTTCTGAAGCTTCGATCGCCATCAGTCTCGAGAAGGGGAAGCAGAAACTGTATTCCAGCTCACTTAAGTTGCTCCTTGAGGAGGATGTGAGGCACCTAATCGAGGCTGTCACAGCTGAAGAGAAGCAGCAGCAGAAGAAGAAGCGGAGAGAAAAGGCACCTCCATCTGTTCTGCTTGACCCGCCTTTTTCTCCCATTGGAAGAGTATAGCAAGGCAGGGCGTGGCCGAAGGTTGAAGACCCATGGCATGTAACATTGTTTACTATCGGTCAAGATTTGTCTTCATGTTCATATTTTCTTTTTACTGAAGAGGCAAATTTATGTTGTTCATAAGGATGGGGGTTGCATACTTGCATGTAGTGTTAGATTTTAGCAGGCAGTAAGGTCATAATGTACTGTTGAGATGTTGAATAGAAGAAAAAAATTAGGAGGCAGTTCCATGTTCCAGTTGGAAGAAGAAAGTGAATGGAGAAAAGCTGGCTGTCGCCTCTGTATGTAAACATCACCTGAAACAAATGTAGCATGAAGTAGTGTTCAGTGTTCACTCTGATTGCGCATTTCAAATTTGCACTTTGAACTGGAGGTGCATTGCATTGGAACTGACAGTCGTGGCCATTGTTAATCTAATAATGCTAGTACTATGTGTTAGGGTTCCTGGAACGCAGTGCCCGTTCCAGGCCTTGGTGGTGTGATTTGTTTAACAGCACTGGGTTTAGGCCAGGAGGTAGGAGTTAAGGCAGTGCGAAATGTTGTCGGGATCTTGCGTGTTCTTGGCTCATGTCATGTACGTACTCGTAGTGCTGAAGAATGGAATCCTATGGTTTGACTGGAAGGAAATTCTGGCCAACTGGATGGAGCCTCAAGGCCTGGCCTGACCTAAACGGAACGGAGTCCTTTGTAGCGTTGTATGCATGCTACTACACCAGTAGTACATTCTTGCTGGTTTGGGAGTAGTGCTACAAGCCAAAGGCAGCATGCATGATTTGTAGCTACAGATAGATGGATGGATGGCAAAGGCCGAAAGACAAGGACAAAGAGTTGGAGATGGTGGACCATGTTGACCAAGATTTGGAATTTCAGTCAGCCTTTGTATTGTACTCTATTTTTATGCCTCTCAAGTCTGATCTGACCACCTGGCTGCCTTTTGCTTTGCTTTGCTCTGTTCCCTGTTCCTGTTCCTGGGACCTGGATAAAGAGTACTCACTCCGTTCAAAAAAAAGTGTCATTTTTTATTTTTTAACATCTTGTTTGACTATCTGTTTTATTCAAAAAAAAAATTTTTAAATATCATATATTTTATTATGACTTATTTTATTATTAGAGATACTTTACTAATGATTTATTTATTTTATAATTTATATAAAATTTTTGATAAGATGAAAAGTCAAACAAGATGTCTAAAAGTCAAAAATATCATTTTTTTTTTACGAGAGAGAGAGAGAGAGAGAGAACACCAGCAAAAATTTAACTGAAGCAGACACGCGGCTCATTTTACCTTCGTCTTCTTCGCTACCGCAACCTGCGCTTTTGTTCGGTGAAAAAGGAAGAGGCGGTTCACTTTTCTGCGCTCCGGGATTTACCATACTTCTACTGTTTGTTTGTTCTGGTACTATTTTTGCTTGTTTTTTCCCCCTACACAGACAGTCACCATTTCAACAACAATGCATATCCATTGCTCGTGATGAAAATAACCGATTTTCCACCGTCAATGTAATGCAATACTCCTATAATACAATAGTAACCCTGCTTAAAAAACCTAGTGTGGTGGTGGTACTGTTACTGTGCTACAGGTAGGTCACACACTACCTCCCTTGGCCTTGGAGGATTTCTACATGTGAGACGATCTGGTAAAATCGAAACAAATTTATTTATCCCCCACACCCACACGGCTAGATTTCAGTTGACCGACAACATCAAAAGAAAGAAAGAAATAACAGCTGATCCGGCGATGTCAAAACCAGGGATGCCATGACACTCGCAGTTCATGTTCATCAGGTTTGGCACTACTCTACCGACTACCAGCGTCGAGATCGAGAAGAAGAAAGCAAAGCCCACGCCGATTTGTTTCCGAGAAAGAAGAAAGGTCCGAATCCATCCGATTGCCATCCAACGGCCAGCATCCGCTCCCCCCGATGAACTGCCCACCCGTGGCAGCCATTTATCACTGCTGACCTAAGCAACATCAATTATATTATTGTTATTGTTATGCATAGAACTCTACTCCCCGTCCTAAATAAATACGCATCTCGTATTTCCAGTAATCAATTAAATTCAAATTTAATTAAAAAAATCAATATTTATATATTTAATTCATTATAAAGATATATGCCATGGCTAATCTAGTGATGTTATTTATTTTATAGTATTCGTGAATGTACGAATTTTATATTTAACAAATTTAAGATTGGTTAGTTGTTTGAGGTAGGAATATAAGATATGCTATATATTACGCATTTATTTTAGAATGGAGAAAAGTATTCATCCACTACTGTTAAAACACCTTTTGGGCCTATTCGGCTGTTCTGGCTTGGCTAGTCAATCAGCTGATTTGAATCAGCCCAACACAAGCTAGCCCAGCCAGCTGCTGCTGCAATTTGATTTGAATGAACTGGATTCAAATCATATTATGGCGCCAATGAACTATAGTTGGCGTCAACTCTCAGACCCATTCAAATACATGTCCGTCAACAAGTAACAACATTAACACATACAAATTAGTACCAACCAATTCTAATACCATTTCATTACATCTCACTCAAATGTGTTTCCAAGACCATTGAAATAACACTTCATTACAACAGCAGTGAACCATTCAAATATGCCACCAAGTCAAACTTGTTGCATCTGGATGCATCTCATTCTCAGGTCAGTGTGTTCCTTACCTTGCTCCATAGTTTCTGACTGAATGAAGTCTTGTATGTAAAGATGTTGTAAGAAGAGCAGTCAAAGCATCCTTTATCTTGAACATCTATACAAACCATAAGGTATTGTTTGGGAGCAAGGGGTAGAATTCTCATTTCTAAATGAGACTTCATTAATAAAACAAGATTGTACCAAATCAACATAGTTTTGCAATGAAAATAAGGCCATATGATAAAACATCAGGAAACAATACAACAAAGATGGCACTAAGAGGAGATGCAGGGTTGAGATGCAGTGCTTTTTAGCCAGTAGGAGCCGAGGGTATTTGCACGCCAAAAGCCTTGGCTCCGGTGGCGAGTTCCTCTCCTACAGCTGGCTCCAGTGGCGAGCTCCTCTCCTACATCTGGCTCCAATTTGCAGTAATTACAACAACTCATTCGAATTCCTAAGGTCGAATTACAACAATTCATTATAGCAGTACATTCATGAGTTGTCCATAGCACTACTACTTGGAGGATTACTAGAGCATTTACAAAACTCGTAGGAGTTGCACAAAACATTTGCAACACCTACAGCAACATGCACCTTCTAATATGCGCATGTACTCCATGTACAACATCAACCTACATTGGCATACAATGCTACAATTTCCAATTGGTACCATTCCAGTACACTAACCTACTGGCCTAAGTGGCATCTGTATAAAATTTGTACCCTTTTCTAGGCACATAAGATTAAGCATGAATGTAGTTCCCATGCAAAAGCCAATGACCCAACCATCAATGGGTACAACACCTCTGCATAATCATTGTCCCCACATCCCCAAAGATATGAACTCCCTAACCGCTGACATACTGTTACTAGCATTGAGGTCAACCCAGGGAGATGGTGGGTAAGTTGGGGATCCTAATCCATACTCCCTACTGAACAAGTAATTGTGGAGTGCAAAGCAAGAAATTATAATCATCTTTTGCTTTGTTCGATGGCAGTATGGTACCCCATCAAGAATCTAACACCTATTCTTTAGAACCCCAAATGTCTGTTCTACAACATTGCGTAGCCTAGAATGAGTCAAGTTAAATTTCTCCTGTTGAGACATAGTCTCTACAGGTACACCCTAAAATCATCCAGATGGTACCTTGTATTTCTAAAAGGACCCATGTATCCTGACTCCAGTGCGTAACCAGCGTCCACCAGATAGTAGCGGCCTGCAACACATTAACCAATTAAACAATTAGGTTTTACAGACTGCACAAGCTACAGAAACAATGTAACACATTATTCATTGGCAGTAGTCACTCACCGGTTGGTGGATGTGGGAAGTTTGGTTCCTCCCAACATTCTTTGAGAACTGACATGTCATGCACCGAACCCGCCATCCCCACACCGACATATGTGAAGCGCCCATCCATGTCGACAATTGCACAGACATTTATAGTTACATCTCCTTTTCTATTTATATGGTCAATTTTGGCCTCCTTGCTCACCCTAACTTTGACATGTGTGCCATCCAAAGCCCCGATGCATCCATCGAAGAATGGTGCATATGAGCCAAGTTGCCAATTCACTCCAGCATAACTACTGTCTGCTGGAACAACAACAAAGTGTGCCCACCTACACATAACCTCGGCGACATGACTAATCTTTCTACTAAGTGTATCCAAAGACCGTTCGAATCTATCCCTGCTCCTTCTAGTTGCTTGGTTGTGCGCACAAGTCCATAAATAAATACCTAAACATTCTAGGGATCCTGTCTGTCGTGTACCCTTCAAGCCAAACCCAAGTAAAATGTTATGCAAATACAGCAAGTTATTAGGAGACATACGCAAGTTGTCCAAGCACTTCCTTTCATTTCGCAGATTGACTTCTATCCACTGCCGCCCGGTCATCTTCTGGAAGGGGAGGTCCGGGTTCACCACGGAAGCCTCATTGGCTATTGCGGCTTTGTACTTTGCAAGCAGTAGAGCAGCAGCTGCCAAGGGTAAAATGAATGATCCTTCGCTTGAGCTATCACTGGTAGCGGATTCCTCATTGATGTTCATCTACAAAACCAAGATTAGGTCCAAAATTATCAGGCAGTGAACATTAATGCAACTTCAAACTAGAATGCTAATGATTCAGAACTCATATTATACATATGGCAAACTTATTCACATTTGAGACACATATCAATCTGAAATAGCTGAAGGCAGTACATTCATCTATTTTTCTACTCTACTGCCTAAGTTGAGTACACAAGATAAATGACATAAATGACTCCATCTTTAAAAGGTAACAATATAGCCTGGAAAAGAAAGGAGGGGACATATGCTGCATATGTGAAAACAAATGTATAGAATGCTTCATAC